CTCAACGTGTGAATAAAACATGAACGTACATCCTGACATACCGGCGCCATCTTGGTGACCATTTGACCTAGTTCCCAGCTTGTCTAAACTTCCGCCCCCAGCGTGTTTTGAACCCCCGACCTCTGCTCAAACCACGGCAGTATAAAACAAAAGGTGAGGTCTCACCTCGCACGTGCAGTAACAATACCGCCACCTGCCAGACTCCAGCCTCGCTTTCAAAATAGCTATCTATTTATAGAACGTTGATCTGCTAGTGTGTGAGTCGGATTGAGGCTGACCTTGACCGAGTAAACGAATTTTTGGGACTTGGGGTAATCAAAGTAAACAATAGGCCTGCGCCTGTTTAATTTCAAGAAAATTATTCGCTACTTGCTACTTGGTAGCCTGGCTATGTGTGGCTACTTGTATCTTGATTGAGTGGCTACAGATGACTGAGGTAGCCATATGACATACATCTATGTCAGCAAATACACAGCGGGCTACATTTTCAAAGAACACAGAAACATTCAAATATTATCATGTTTGAATTGTGCCTTCAGTCTGAAACAGAAAACTACAATGTATTCAGCTGGCTGTATACATTTGTTTAGCAACAAATCTAGGGAACAAATCTCAGGGAACACATGTGTTCGGTAAACTGTAAACACTTGTTTGACAACAAATCCAGGAAACAAGTTGACAACTTTATATTTGTACATGTGTACCAATGGATATTTGTAGGCTACACGTGTACACGTGAATCTGTGGATGTTCTGTATATAATTATGTGTATATATGTTTGTTGTGTATATATGTATGTAGTATATATGTATGTTGTGTATATGTATGTTGTGTATATATATATGTTGTGTATATATGTATGTTGTGTATATATATGTTGTGTGTATATGTATGTTGTGTATATGTGAGCAAATGTATATGACGTAGGTAAAAGTCACCCCAATTTTTACAGCTGTTTGGGGTGTGTGTGTGTGTGGGGGGGGGGGGGGTTGATATATTCGAGTGGAATCTAGAGGGGCGGGGGGGGGGGGGGGGTAAGGTCACAAGACACTGACCACGTAAAATATGATTTGAAAGTATGTCTTAGAAGCCGGACACTGTTACGGTAAAGATTGTAGCGAGCCCCCCACTGTTGAGATAAAGGTGGCAGCGAGCCCCATAACGTCAAGTTGAATACCACAGCGAGCCCCCTACTGTTAAGTTCTGATTTCAAACGCGTGTGTAACGTGAAACAGTACCAGCCACTGATTGATTTCTCTTTCGCTTTTCAATTTTAAAGTGTCCCTAGTCTTGGTGTGTGCACTATTTAACAAAGCACAAAGTGCAAGCCGTCAGATATTGATCAAATAATTATAGAAATCATTAGTACTCTAGGCACACTGATAAATAAAGCACTGAAATATAAGTACACAAACAATACATAGAATAACAACATATAAACACATATATTTAAACACATGCTCATAGGCACACACACACATTATATATATATACGAGCCGACCCGCTGCGTATCATACGCCGCTATTTAGTTGTTTTTTTTTTTCTACTTTTCAGTAATTTATAATTTGTGAATTCGACAGTACCAATGCTGCCACTAATAATATTTGCTTAAAAACACTAACCCCCCCCCCCCCACCCCACGTGAAAGCAGCCTCCTCTTGGTTACCTCCTCTAAGTTTAAAATCGTTTCAAACTAAATTATCTGCCCCTAATAGCCGTCACCAAACCCGTCTCTATGATTGTAAAATGTAAACAGAGTGAACACCGCTCACCAGACAATGTGGGGGTGGGGTGGGGGTGGTAGTGATAGTGATAGAGAGAAAGAGAGGGGACTGCAAGGAGGCGCTTGCAGCTTGTTTTCTAACTGATCCCAGAAGAGAATTATATATATAGATATATATCTTTATATATATATATCTTTATATATATATATATATATATATATATATATATATATATATATATATATATATATATATATAAATAAATAAATAAATATATATATATATATATATATATATATATATATATATATATATATATATATATATATATATATATATATAAACATACGAAACATAAGCAACATATAAATACATACGTTTAAACACATATAAATAAACAACCACAAACAGTTTCAACCAGCTTTATAGTAAAAGACGATAACTGTTTTGAAAAGATTTCTGTTTATTTAATATTAGTACTTGTTATAATTGATATTATTTTAGTATTTTTCAATTCTACTTATTTTCGTACTTTAGAATTGAAATACGAAAACAGACTCAGAGAAGATGAAGCCCTAGAACACAGTCAAGCTATTCACTAAAACACATGCTTACTAGAGATTGTCTCCCATATTTCAACATAGAACGACAAAATTATGTCGTAATAGAAACATGCATTGTAGTCAGAGCTTCTACTCAATTATAAGTTTGATACTAATCTGATAGCTAGACTTGGAGTGAGAAATTGTTTCTGTGAGGGATATATGTGCCGGGAATTTGAGTGTGGGGGGATCAGTGTTAGGGGAATCAGAGCGTGACATATATGTTGTACCGCGCATGTACGTGACTTGTCAAGACAGGTGGAGACATAACCCACCCCCCCCCCACCCCAGCCATAAATTTCTCTATTGCTTGTACTACCCGCCGATCGTACGACAGAAGTGATCATAAAAGAGTGCCATTAAACCAAAGGATCAATTGATTCCTACAAGACAAGGGTGACCTACCTTTGGTGATTGTGTACAGCAAGTTTTTTTAGGTCAGCAGAGGTCAGCAGGGGCGTGGATAACTGGGTACAGGGGTATACATCTATCAGGGGAAAAACAACTATATATATATATATATATATATATATATATATATATATATATATATATATATATATATATATATATATATATATATATATGATACATATATATGATTTATATATAAAGATATATATATATATATATATATTTTAAAAATGTCCTATCTTCTAAATATAATGTGTATCTTAAATGCTTAGAGGGCCTAAAATATGATAATATGTTTTAGGCTATAGAATACAACATTTTTAGTTTCTAGCCTAAGTAATACGTTTATATTTTGTATGTGTATGCTTGTATGATAGACTGTGTCTGTTTATGTGTATGAGTGTGTAAGTACGTAAGTTTGTTTGACTGAGCATTCGTCTGTGTGAGCATGCATGTATATGTGGGGGGGGGGAGGTGTTTTATAAAGGTTTATATGTGTAAAATTATGTACAACGTTAAATTGCAATCAAGTGCACAAGAACGATGTTCAAATTATAAATCAATGTGGTTTATATTCACTATTGATTTACTTACTGAGACCTCTGCTAGGGGCCGCCACTACATACACATACATATAAATATCGTACACAACTGGGACAAAACGTGACACCAACCTAGAGCTACCTGCGCCGCCGGGTCGGGATATAAAAAGTCAGCATGACTTCATCAAGTTGACTTGAGCCTAGATCGCTACCAGAGCATCAATATGACTGCAGAAAGCCATTAGTGTTTAGAATCCTTTCACGCACGTTATTTTGCTCAGCTGGCAAACATTGTAAGCGGACCTCCGGGAGGTCACTCTAGTTAATCAATAATTTATACTTTAATGGATATTTTTTTCACGCTGAGCTTGTCGTTTTTACACAGATGTTTATGATTTGTGTTCAGGTTGGTTGGCTGGAAATATTTCAATTTTTTTTTCCATTCAAGGTCTGAACTTTTAAATTCGAGTCGCTAACAGTTTTTAAGGTCACGGTTTAGAAGTTTGACTGTAATTTAATTGGTTTTGCCAGACATAAATTCTAAAGTTTAAAAATCTGGCCAATCGAAAATAAATTATAATTTTTTCTTTAAACGTCTTTTAAAAATCTTGACAACGAACTAAAATTTTTGAAACAAGAACTGAGAACCTAGATAAAGCAGTGGCGTAGCGAGGTCGGGTGTCACCCGGTGCGGCACTTAATGGTGTCACCCCCCCCCCCCCAGAGGCATAGAGACCCTTCCCAGGGACAAACTTTCAAATTTTCGAGTTGCACCCTCCCCTCAAACTTTCGATTTGCACCCCCCCCCCTCGAGTTTTCGATTTGCACCCCCCCCCCCCCTCAAACTTTCGATTTGCACCCCCCCTCGAGTTTTTCTCTATATATTTTGCTATTTTTTGCCTTGGTGTCACCCCCCTAAATGGTGTCACCCGGTGCGGTCCGCACCCCCCGCCCCCCCCCCTCGCTACGCCCCTGAGATAAAGAGCCAATATTTCAAAAACATCCACTGAAGTTATAGAGAATTATTTTCAAATTTAAAATATATAAGCCTCATAATTATGTATTTTTCAAATAGTTGTTTCGACCTTGGAACTTCATCCGTGAATGATTTATAATTTGGTTTTCGTATTTACTGTTGTTGTTCTTTTGATTATCACGTGACTTTGTCCGCGGATAATTCTCTGATGAAGACCTATGTTGAAGACGTCACACTGTTTATGGTGTCCACTAGTACAAGACTTAATTAATTATGTATTAATTAATTATGTATTAATTAATTATGTATTAATTAATTATGTATTAATTAATTATGTATTAATTAATTATGTCTTGTCATGTGTTGTTGACAGGCTGACTTGACCTAGATACATTGACAGAATCACGAGCTGTACACAGCTGTGTGTCTGAGAGCCGGACACCACAGCTCCCAGAGCCTGACACCCCAGCTCCCTAGAGCCGGACACCACAGCTCTACAGAGCCGGACACCCCATCTGAGAGCCGGACACCACAGCTCCCAGAGCCGGACACCCCAGCTCCCAGAGTCGGACACCCCCGCTCCCTAGAGCCGGACAACCCAGCTCCCAGAGCCGGACACCACATCTGATAGCCGGACACCCCAGCTCCTAGAGCCGGACACCACAGCTCCCAGAGCCGGACACCCTATCTCCCAGAGCCGGACACCCCCGCTCCCTAGAGCCGGACACCCCAGCTCCCAGAGCCGGACACCCCAGCTCCCAGAGCCGTAGACCAGATGGAAGCTGTGGCCAGCAGCTGATTCAAGATGGCGAGCTTGGTTGAGGTGAAGGAGAAAACTTTGATCAGGTTTGAATTTTTTTTTGTTGTTGCCATGACAACGATCGTTTGAAACGTCAGGGAAAGTTTTACCAGTTTTTTTCTACTTTCTGTCAACATTTCAGTTTCAGCCGCTGGCTATAGAGGGGGGGGGGGGGGGGGAGAGGGGAGGGGGGTTGAAAGTATGTCGAAATAAACAAACTCAAGTAACAAGTGCCTTCTGTAGTCGCCTAATGAAAGATTGGGGGGGGGGTCGTCTACTGGGGGTTGCGATCCCTTAGATGGGGAACCCCTGCTCTAGACAAAACCAACTGTGTGTAGAATAACACGGACAGTTTCAGGATGTTTTTGTTTTGAATCTGATGGTGTGGGCGGTGGGGGAGCGGGGGGGGGGGGGGGGGGGAATGACGACATAAACAATCAGCTGATTAAAAAAATGTGACGCAGTGTTTAGTTTGGGCTGCTGGGAAAATCGATCGATTCAGATGAAGATCGTCTGAGATCGATATCGATCTAATCAAAGATGCCGCCGGGTACTCGCCTTTACGTCTGGCAGTAAACAGATCACGTGATGTTGACTCGCAAGTAGGGCACGTGACATTTAGAACCAATCAAAAAACAGGATGCACTTCTGCAAGATAAACACACCAAAAACAGTTGCTTTTAAAAATATTATTCCAACCAAAATATTATTCCTACCAAAATATTATTCCTACCAAAAAATTATTCTAAACGAATTCGATGTCTAACGAAAAGCGAAAAAAAAAACAATCTCACATATAGGACAATCTCGATGTGTCTAAAGAAAATGTAACGCATGCTATTAAATTAAATTTAAGGATGAGACGTTTTGAAAAGAAAATTAAGGTTACCCAATATTTATTAAGTTTTATATATATATATATATATATATATATATATATATATATATATATATATATATATATATATATATATATACATGGTGTGTTATTGTGATGTAACTAGTATGTAGTTACAGACGGGGAATGTAACCAGCCAGTCAAAACCTCACGGCTTCACTTCCTGTTTTCCTGATGTAGCTGACTCCCCCCCCCCCCCCCCGCTCCACTTCTACCCCACATTCGCGCCAATTAAAATAGTTTGTTGATTGACTTATCTCCTCCTGGAACTCTTTGATTAACCGTCGTTAATTAATCGCCCGGAGACTTAATTAATTATTTCCTGCTAATAACAAGTCGAAGATGGGCAATCAAGCGAAAAAAAAATTTGACTCGCGTTAGGGTTGTCGTTTTTAATTGTACCACGTGATGTGGAGGGTTGGGGGGGGGGGGAGATTTGTGGCGTTTTGTTTCTTTGTTAGTCATTTAGATCATCTTCTTATCATTTTTCCCCGTACCTGTCCAAGACATTTGGGGCAGATCAAGTAGAGTTCATCTGTTTCAATGACCTTAGCGTAAAGCGTGGCCAACACTATAGGGCTGGTAAGTAGGTCACCAACCAGTTATATGGTTCATGCAGGTTTTATTGAGCCGTAGAACTGGTTGGTGACCTACTTACCAGCCCTATACCCAGCAGCCTTTGTTTCTCTAACGTGGACTCAGGCACGGTCTACAGACTCGAGCCTAGGATCCAAACTCGGGCTATTCTGGTTAGTAGTCGTGAGCTCGACTATCCGACTACGCTGCCTCCTTTATTTAGATAGCCATATGCCCATATATGGTGTTCCGCCATTTTATTTTGAGCTCGTGCACATCCCTGAGACACTTTGGTGAGAGACGGTCTAAATCCTCAGCTGTTAACCCTCTCCCGTCCCTAAAATCATGACCTGTTAACCCTCTACTCTCCATAAGTAATATTTTTTTAATCGTTGTAAAAATATGTGTGTAAACAGTATATTAAACTAGATGTTTGGTGGACACCCATTTGACCTAAGAAGGTCTTACATTAAGTAGGTAATTTCATCAATAGGTCATACCATCAGTAGGTCATCCCTAAGTTGGCCATACCCTAAGTAGGCCATACCATAAGTAGGTCACCTCTAAATGTGTCATCACATAAGTAGGTCATCTTTCAGTAGGTCATTCCATCTTTTCCACTTTTTATTATTGAATAAACAAAGTCAACTTTTCTTACATGCTTCCCTTGTACAAGAATTCCGATCATAGAACCTGAATAAATGGGTTCACGAAATATCTCAGACAAAATATCTCAGACAAAAATCTAAACAAAATATCTCAGGAAAAAATATCCCAGGATAAAATATCTCAGACAAAATATCTCAGACAAAATATCTCATGAAAAATATCCCAGACAAAATATCTGAGACAAAATATTTCAGACAAATTATTTCAGACAAAATATCCCAGACAAATTATTTCAGACAACATATCTCATGAAAAATATCTCAGGATAAAATATCTCAGACAAAATATAAAAGGTGGTTGACCCCTTATTTTCCCCCACCCTCTCAGTTATGTTGACACGCCCATGTCTCCGCACTTGAAAAATCTCCAATGACAAAAAGCGACTAATTACTTGGACTTAATGAATGCCATTTATCTTTTATTGTTGTATAAAAAGCAATAAGTCATATCTTGTGATGTGCACAGATTGTAGCTCTATGTGCTGGGGTGGGGGGGGGTGACTAATACGATGACAATAGTGAAACCTTCACGCATATTAGTCGTGGTAGGAGAACCACAAACACCATAGTTTGTTGGGGAGATAACTCTAAACAGTCTTCTACACGGGAGTTCATTTCGCCAAGTTCGATGGGAGATAACTTGTTGTGGAGATGAAAGGGAGTTAACTTTTCAGAGATTTTTTTTTCCCCTTAGCGTGAGCTAATTTGATCGTGAGTGTTGAATGAACGTGCTGCTCATCATAAGGCGAGCGGCCCTGTTCCGGTCAGTGATCACCGTATTGATTAGCCAGCGTATCGATCGATTGATTGATTGATTGTGTCTGTTGTGACGTAGTGTTGTGACGCAGTGTTGACAGAGGACAGCACACGACGGGGCTATTTATAGATTGCTGTAGCCTCATAAAGCAATTTATTTCTTATATAGTTCATATCTGGACTCAAATGTGGAAATCATGTATCTTAATTAAAGTTTCTGGATAATAAACAATTTTACAACTAAAATAAAATAAATATAAAATTAAGATTGATGAACGCAATAATTGACACAATGACAGCTGTGTTAATTAAACCAAAATATGCAATTGTAAACCTTAAATAAAATATTTTTATATTTAATTATTAATTAAGTATTATACTATTCGCGAAATGTAACTGTATGATTATGTTTTTATACTATGGTATATATAAGCATATACATAGATATATACAGATAGATATAGTGTATATAATGTTTAATAATTTATGGAATATATATATATATATATATATATATATATATATATATATATATATATATATATATATATAAGTTCATTGTCAATCTTAACGCTGTGCTGACCTCCACAGATCAGAGAGTCGGGCGCTGGTCACGTGTCCGTGCTCCACGCTGACCGCCTACTGGGGGGTGGTGGTGGGGGGGGGGGGGTGGTGTGTGTGGGGGGGTGGGGTGGTTTTAGTTTAGAGAAAAGAGACAGCACTATCAGCCTAGCGTCCGTTGTATCCTTCCTCAACGGGCCATTTTTCTCGTGTATATATATATATATATATATATATATATATATATATATATATATATATATATATATATATATATATATATATATATATATATAAGTTCATTGCAAATCTTAACGCTGTGCTGACCTCCACAGATCAGAGGGCCGGGCGCTGGTCACGTGTCCATGCTCCCCGCTGACCGCCTACTGGACCCCCCCTCCCACCTGGCCTAGACGAGTCCTGTGTGAGAACAAGCACGTCGCCTTCAGCCTGACCCGAGGATGCTGGGTACTCATCTCCGCCATCTTCCTGACCTACTTCCTCGTCATGGACGTCTTCCTGTTTGCCCGCTTCCGGTTCACCAGCCTCGTTCTCGACTCAAGACCGGGGGCGCCTGGGGAAATCTACAGCCCGTTTACTCACCTGTCGGTCAAGGCCGTGCTCAGCGACCACGTCCGGCACTACTTCATGACGCCTGTAGCTGAGTACCTCAACGTGCTCACCGGCTTCTCCTCCCTCTTCCCTTTCATCACCCCCAACCTCCTCTCCGTCACTCACCTCCTCTGCGCGTTCATCGCCGGCAAGTTCATTTCCTCCGAGCATCTCCAAGACCGCCAGATCGGTGTACTCATCTTCTTCTTCCGCACCTGGCTAGACTCCTTTGACGGCACCGTGTTCCGCGCTCAATCCGGCGTCCACCTACAATACAACTCCGTGTACTCATCATCCGGGTACTTCATCGACGGATTCTTCGACACCCTCGGTGGGTTCTTCCTCTCCTTCGGCGTCTTCTTCTACCTTCTAAAACGTTACGGACCTCGGTCTTCCTCAGCCATGATGCCCACCTGGACTAAAGACCCGGAGAGCTGTACTGAAGAGCTGCAGCCGATTGGCGGACAGCCGACAGCCGTGTACAGCTGTAGAGTTTTGTTTTGTAAGGTGCTGAGCTACGGCGTGTGTCTGGCAGTGGCAGGCGTCTGCTGGGACCGGACGGTCAAAGAGTTCACGGAAGTTTTCCAGACGGAATTAACGGATCCTTCACTCTCGGTAAGTAGACGGATAACCTTTGTCAAACGACGCGCATTTCCGACGATAACATTATCTCCCTTTTATTGGGCATGTGCGTACATCGCATTTAGGAATATTATATATTCACGTTTTTGATAGTCATAAAGGAAAATACTGAGGCAACCGGTAGTTTTTTTTTCGTTTAAATATTTGAATTAAAGTGTCGTCCATAATTGTCGTCCAGATTTTGGGCCGATTTTTTTTACTTTCTCCACACCATCGTTTGTCTACTTGAACATTCGTAAAGAAAGGGTTAACACCTCTTAGAGTTGTAGGCTTGTGTCAGACAGGCAACATGTAAACAAACAAAAACTAACCCCCCCCCCCCCACACACACATCCAACCTAACCTGCCTGCCACCTATGACCCTACTATAAAACAAAAGGTCATTGACCTCAATGTTTATAAATTATGTCGGGATACAATCACCGGAATCAACGAACCGCGAGAGTGACGTCACTGTGTTAATGACACTGACTAGGTTGCCGTTGTAATCAGTACTAATGACAACAAATGGCACTGGGTTAGTCTAAGTATCACGAACCGTCAATTAACACCAGATAATCAGCTTTAAATATCTGCACCACGTGCACTTGCTGCTGGTGCCCATTACACACACACACACACACATATATATATATATATATATATATATATATATATATATATATATATATATATATATATATATATATATATATATACATATATATATAAGTAAATAAATTTAAAAAAAAATATATATATAAATATATATATATATATATATATATATATATATATATATATATATATATATATATATATATATATATATATATATATATATATACATATATATATATAAATAAATAAATTTAAAAAAATATATATATATAAATATATATATATATATATATATATATATATATATATATATATATATATATATATATATATATATATATATATACTTGTCCAGCACAACTTGAACATCAATATTTGACAACTTTATTTACTTCTATTTTTTTTTCCTTCTAAATATTTTCATTTCGTATTATTATATCCCTGAAAATAGCTGCTTCTAAATTCCTCACTTGTAGGCCTACACACATGACAATAGATCCCTATATATGCTATACACAGTGGCGGAACTAGAAAAAAAGGGCCACCCCGCAAAAAAAAATTGTAGGCCCTCCTATATATATATACTAGGCATACTGCCTAGCTTCGCTTAGGTTTTTAAAAGGCATTTGAGAATTTGAATACTTAATTATTTAGCGATGGATTGGGTGTGGAGTGCTTTAATAAGTTTAATTTAAACAGTAATGCTAACTTTAGAAAAAATGTTTTTGTTAGTCATTTACATGCACATTCGATGAGAATTTTTGGAAAGTACGCAATGTATAACTAAAATGGAATTAGAACTACACAGGTTTCATGAACAGTATATCTCATAGTTTATATTACATTGCCTTTTGAAATTAATTAATTAATTTAATTAGCATACTTAACTAAATTAACAACTTAATTTTGTACTAAAACAATTGCTATACTTCGTCATTTTCTGTTTCTGTTTAAAATAGTATACAATTATTTGAAAAATAATAATTTTAAAAACGTTACCTCCCTTGAAAACTGAACGTATGACGTATGTCATTGTTTACTTATATTGTTTGCTTATATAAGAAATTACGTTATATGAACTTATTTAACGACTATAATGGCTGTTTCCGACGGGAATAAAGTTTTTTTGTTACCCTCCATGGTCGGTCTACGACGTCACATAATATTAAGGGGATAGTTCGTCAATTTATTTATATATATATAGATTTATATCTCATATAAGGAGAATTTCACTCAAGATCATCTTTTAGCCCTCGTCGAGGGCTTTGAGTCTGACCAACAGTTTTTCCATACGGCCTAGTCATCTATAGTAGTGTATGCAAAAACTTAGCATGATGTACAGACATTAAGTAACCTAAAAATTGTGTTAAAATTTCCCTGTTTTTCCCATAAAATACAAAGATTATATAGGGAAATACAACTGGTCAGTTTTGACCGCTTTACGAAGTTTTCCCAGAATTGCCGAGTTTTTTATGAAACCCCTAGGTGTTCTTCTACCACCTCACAAAATATCAAGGGGGGTCGTCGGAGGAAATTTTTTTTCATAATAGAGCTCATATAAAGAGAATTTCACTCGCGGTCACTTTTTAGCCCTCTTCGAGGGCTTTGAGTGTAACCGACAGTTTTCCCTAAAGGTCAAGCCATTGACCTAGGAGCATGCAAAAAATTAGCCAGATATACTGAGCTTAAGTACCCTAAAGTCTGCGTTGAAATGACCCTCTGTTTTTCCCATAAAATACAAAGATTATATAGGGAAATACAACTGGTCAGTTTTGACCGCTTTACGAAGTTTTCCCAGATATGCCGAGTTTTTTGTGACACCCCTAGGTGTTCTTCTACCACCTCACAAAATATCAAGGGGGGTCGTCGGAGGAAATTTTTTTTCGTAATAGAGCTCATATAAAGAGAATTTCACTCGCGGTCACTTTTTAGCCCTCGTCGAGGGCTTTGAGTGTAACCGACAGTTTTCCCTAAAGGTCAAGCCATTGTCCTAGGAACATGCAAAAAATTAGCCAGATATACTGAGCTTAAGTACCCTAAAGTCTGCGTTGAAATGACCCTCTGTTTTTCCCATAAAATACAAAGATTATATAGGGAAATACAACTGGTCAGTTTTGACCGCTTTACGAAGTTTTCCCAGATATGCCGAGTTTTTTGTGACACCCCTAGGTGTTCTTCTACCACCTCACAAAATATCAAGGGGGGTCGTCGGAGGAAATTTTTTTTCGTAATAGAGCTCATATAAAGAGAATTTCACTCGCGGTCACTTTTTAGCCCTCGTCGAGGGCTTTGAGTGTAACCGACAGTTTTCCCTAAAGGTCAAGCCATTGTCCTAGGAACATGCAAAAAATTAGCCAGATATACTGAGCTTAAGTACCCTAAAGTCTGCGTTGAAATGACCCTCTGTTTTTCCCATAAAATACAAAGATTATATAGGGAAATACAACTGGTCAGTTTTGACCGCTTTACGAAGTTTTCCCAGAATTGCCGAGTTTTTTATGAAACCCCTAGGTGTTCTTCTACCACCTCACAAAATATCAATGGGGGTCGTCGGAGGAAAATTTTTTTCGTAATAGAGCTCATATAAAGAGAATTTCACTCGCGGTCACTTTTTAGCCCTCGTCGAGGGCTTTGAGTGTAACCGACAGTTTTCCCTAAAGGTCAAGCCATTTACCTAGGAGCATGCAAAAAATTAGCCAGATATACTGAGCTTAAGTACCCTAAAGTCTGCGTTGAAATGACCCTCTGTTTTTCCCATAAAATACAAAGATTATATAGGGAAATACAACTGGTCAGTTTTGACCGCTTTACGAAGTTTTCCCAGATATGCCGAGTTTTTTGTGACACCCCTAGGTGTTCTTCTACCACCTCACAAAATATCAATGGGGGTCGTCGGAGGAAATTTTTTTTCGTAATAGAGCTCATATAAAGAGAATTTCACTCGCGGTCACTTTTTAGCCCTCGTCGAGGGCTTTGAGTGTAACCGACAGTTTTCCCTAAAGGTCAAGCCATTGTCCTAGGAACATGCAAAAAATTAGCCAGATATACTGAGCTTAAGTACCCTAAAGTCTGCGTTGAAATGACCCTCTGTTTTTCCCATAAAATACAAAGATTATATAGGGAAATACAACTGGTCAGTTTTGACCGCTTTACGAAGTTTTCCCAGATATGCCGAGTTTTTTGTGACACCCCTAGGTGTTCTTCTACCACCTCACAAAATATCAAGGGGGGTCGTCGGAGGAAATTTTTTTTCGTAATAGAGCTCATATAAAGAGAATTTCACTCGCGGTCACTTTTTAGCCCTCGTCGAGGGCTTTGAGTGTAACCGACAGTTTTCCCTAAAGGTCAAGCCATTGTCCTAGGAACATGCAAAAAATTAGCCAGATATACTGAGCTTAAGTACCCTAAAGTCTGCGTTGAAATGACCCTCTGTTTTTCCCATAAAATACAAAGATTATATAGGGAAATACAACTGGTCAGTTTTGACCGCTTTACGAAGTTTTCCCAGAATTGCCGAGTTTTTTATGAAACCCCTAGGTGTTCTTCTACCACCTCACAAAATATCAATGGGGGTCGTCGGAGGAAAATTTTTTTCGTAATAGAGCTCATATAAAGAGAATTGCACTCGCGGTCACTTTTTAGCCCCCGTCGAGGGCTTTGAGTGTAACCGACAGTTTTCCCTAAAGGTCAAGCCATTTACCTAGGAGCATGCAAAAAATTAGCCAGATATACTGAGCTTAAGTACCCTAAAGTCTGCGTTGAAATGACCCTCTGTTTTTCCCATAAAATACAAAGATTATATAGGGAAATACAACTGGTCAGTTTTGACCGCTTTACGAAGTTTTCCCAGATATGCCGAGTTTTTTGTGACACCCCTAGGTGTTCTTCTACCACCTCACAAAATATCAAGGGGGGTCGTCGGAGGAAATTTTTTTTCGTAATAGAGCTCATATAAAGAGAATTTCACTCGCGGTCACTTTTTAGCCCTCGTCGAGGGCTTTGAGTGTAACCGACAGTTTTCCCTAAAGGTCAAGCCATTGTCCTAGGAACATGCAAAAAATTAGCCAGATATACTGAGCTTAAGTACCCTAAAGTCTGCGTTGAAATGACCCTCTGTTTTTCCCATAAAATACAAAGATTATATAGGGAAATACAACTGGTCAGTTTTGACCGCTTTACGAAGTTTTCCCAGAATTGCCGAGTTTTTTATGAAACCCCTAGGTGTTCTTCTACCACCTCACAAAATATCAAGGGGGGTCGTCGGAGGAAATTTTTTTTCGTAATAGAGCTCATATAAAGAGAATTTCACTCGCGGTCACTTTTTAGCCCTCGTCGAGGGCTTTGAGTGTAACCGACAGTTTTCCCTAAAGGTC